TGATGATTTTTGCTTTTCCCTTTATGCTTCTGTACCCTCTGTGCATTCCCCTGTACCCCTCAGCCCACATGTTTGTAATTCCTGTACCCTGATATTCCAGCTTAGTTTAGGAGTTCTGCTGGGCATAGAGACCAAACATCCTCAGGAAGGGCTCAGTGTGCCCTGTGCTATCTTAAACCCGAGCTCAGCCTTAGGTGAAGCTTAAACCCAACTCCAGCCTTGGGTGAAGCCTTCTGTCCAGAACATCTTGTGTAAACTGAGCTCTGACCTCATCTGGGGGGGGATTCATTAGAATAGAAAGACATTACTGCATTTGTTAAGTTTCTTATTGGGGAATCCTAGATAGATATGCTAATTCCTGAAACCTGTAAAACTTGTACCTGTGCTGTACACGTGTGTGCATTCTGCCATCAAGTTGTGCACCTGGGGTCCCAAATCCCGAGGTAAAACCCTTTTTATCCCCTTAACCGTGTCTGTGTCATTATTAAAAACTGGCAACAAGGAAGCCAAGAGAAAATAATCTTTCAGTGGTTCCAGAGCGATTTTGTCACAAAATACCAGCAGCATGAAGGGAAAGGCAGCCATGCAAGAGATGGTTAAATAATTGAGCATTAAAATGCTTTTTGTAATGCATAAAACTKGTTATTTCCTCTTTGGAAACATTCCTTGCACCTGCCAGAGCCCCAAGGTTTATGGCTCTTTCCCCAGACCATTCCCAGCCATCAGGATCCCACTGGACAGCAGCAGGCACTCTTTCCTCCCCACCCTGCCAGTGGATTACTCCTGTCCTGGTACACAATGTCTCTGCCACATCTCCAGGCCAGTTCTGCTGTTATTTCACACCCAAATAACATAAAACAACCTCCTGGTTCTGTTTCCCAGGGCAAGAAAGGATACTTTTCAGCCAGGACACTTTTCAGCCCGGTTTTTATCAAAGCAAAGGCACGAGGCAGGGAGGGAACAAAGGGAAGGCTGCTGGGACTCACCTGCCCGGTGTTGTAGTTGTTGACAATCACAGCCAGGATGAAWGCTGTCATGGTCCTGTGCTCAGCCTGAGAACAACACACAGCCAGGGTTATCTGGAGAGCAGGGCAGGAACAGCCACAGCCCCCCTGAGACACAGCAATGCTCCAAGGGCTGTGCCATGCTCAAAAAAACAGAAAATCCCAGCTTTCTTGGCATTTCCCTTCTTACCCCTGAGGCATTTCCCCACAGGATCCTCCCAGCTTGTCCCTGCTCTGGGGAGACTCAAAACCACCCCTTTATGGGAATTCAGCTGCTCAGAGGGAATTGCCAAAGCTTTGGGGCAGCTTTGGGCCCTGCAGCCATCCCAGAGCCCCCACCTCACACAGACCCAGCTCCCAGAGCTCTGGGGGAGTCTGTGAACCCTCTGTGTCACACAGCTCCCAGCTAAAACAAGGGCAGCAAATGCTGAAGAGTCTGAACARATGGGATTTGTCCTTACTGGCATGTAGGGATCTGCCAGGACCGAGAGGAAATATTTGTGTCCATTGTCCTTCACCAGGTCAGCCTGGCACGACTGSAAAAGAGACCAAGAAAACCACAATGAAAACATTTACTCTCCAGTGATGCAGGAATGTTCCATTTTTTCACCATTCTTCCACACTCTTGTTTTCAATGGAGCAATATCTCCCAGCACACAAAGGCCAGACCTGGGAGCACGAGGCAGGCTCTGGGCTGGGCTTTGAGCTGGGCTCAGGCTCTGGGCTAGGCTCAGGCTTTGGGCTGGGCTCACTGCAGGGAACAGGGGCTGCAGACACCAGCTCTGACCCCAGGCTGATGTTTTGGGGTCACTCTGAGAGAGTGAAAATGGAAGGGAGGAAACCCTGACTTGGCACTSAGCTCCCAGAGACAGGATCATGCATTTTTCATCAGGAGAAGGTGAAGGAGGGAACTAATTGCTGAAAGGGGAGGGGGTGGCAAGGCCGAGATGCAAGAGAATATTTTAGTGGTGGAGAGAGKGATGCTGCTGGTTTTGGCAGCCCTGGAGCAGAGGGTCTGGACTGCTGCCAGGCTGCAGCTCKGAGAGGCTTCCCCGGCCCCTGAGCCACCCCACAGCCCCCTTCACCTTCCATTCCTCACACAAACCCACCCTGGCCTTGGATGGAGGCACAGGGACACTCCACACYCCCTGAGCTGCCCCAATTCCTGGGGGTCCAGGGAGGGAGGTGATGGCCACAGAGCCAAACTGAACCCTTCCCTCCAGAGCKGCTGGGAACAGCAGGGGAACCCAGCACCTGACACCTCCTCCTCCTCYTCYTCCTCYTCCTCCACYGTGAATWACAGCACAGCCTGACCCGTGTGTGCAAGTCCAGAACTCACAGAAAATCTCCTGTTTGCAAGGAGCAGCTGTCTGTCCCCTCCCTCCCTCCCACTCCCACCACGTGCTGCTGGAACGAGGGAGTGAAACAGCACAAACAAACCCAAACACGCCATTTAAGAGCATTTTTTGGGTGTTTTGCTGTAAAGCCCAGCCTGCAAACAAGTGAGGCAATGGCAGAGCATGGGGGGAATGTGTGAGGGGGTGGGAAGGCAAAACACCACATGGGAATCCCACCTGAGCCCCAGCAGCACCAGAAATGAGCTTTTCCACAACAGCTCCACGATGAATAGTTTTCATTTTCTTTGCTTTCCCAAATCCTCTTAGGATGTTAATGAAAATATTGTTGTAAAACTAAACCTGACAGTGCTGGATCAGCAGCAGGAAAAGCTTCACAAATTCAGTTCTATTCTGCTACTGAAACAGAGATGTACAAAAATAACCCCCAAAGAGGAAAGATCAACATCCACAGCAGCTCAGACATTCCACGTGGACCTGCAATTGTGCCTGAATTAATGTGTGCACCTCTCCTCATCATTTTATAGTGCTCAACTAATTGCACCCACAAACCACTGAGTCACAGATACGACTCTACAAATTTATCTACAATTAATTCCCAGCTTAATTATTGATCTGAAACCCCAGCAGCACTGCTGAAAGGCAYGAGGGGCAGGAATACTCACACTGTCCACTGCCAGGATCTTGGCCCAGATGAAAACCAGGAGAGGTCTCAGCTCACGGGCTGAGCTYTGCAGGAGCTTCAGCACATATGGGAAAATGCCAACAGAGAGGGCCTGGAGGCAGAGAAAATCCCTGTGAGTGAAATCCTGGGAGCAAAAAGCTGTGAGCAAACTCCCCATGGGCAGCTCAGCCCCCCAAATGCAGCATTTTACACACACACAGCTGGGAAATGTGGCAGGAAATGATTTCACACATTTCTAGTAAAGAGGGGATCCCTGGCTATGGCTCATGTGAATTTTGAATGTCACCAGGTATTTTCAGGCTCATTTGGAGACTCTGAGTGAATCCAGCAGCAGCTTTCTTTCCTCACAGCCTGGGTTGGTTTATGCTGCACATCCTCCCTTCCCTCAGCTCTCCCACCTGAACACGTCAAAAATTCAGGAATTCCACCCATCCCACTGGGAATCCTGGCTCTCTCCAGGAGGGAGGTAAAACAAACCACAAAAAATCCCATCACTGAATTGYTCCAGGACCAGCTGGTGCTTCATTTTCATCACTTTTATCAACAAACAGCTCCATTTACAAGAGTGCTTTAAACTGCTCCTCTGTTTAATTCTTATTTAAGCTCCACACTGTGCTGCCACTTTCCAAACTGCAGAATGCAGCTGCTGCCTGCTCACAAGAGCTTGTAAAATCCAGACACCAAACAGATAAAAGAGGAGAGGAAAACGATGCAGCCAGTAAGCTGAAAGAGCACAYAATAAATGCACATGATTTTTTTTTGCTATTTATTTTATATGACAAACCTTCTYACTTGCCCCAGATATTTCCTCCCGCTTTGTCCCTTATTATTTTACACTAAACTACTCCCAAGGAACTCCTTTTTGCAGGAACAAAGCACAGGAATGAATGTGATTAACACAAAGCCCTGCTCTTGTACGGACACTCTCTCCATTTCCCACACAAACCTGGGTGTGGGGGAAAGGGGCCCCACAAGCCCTGATTCTGAAAATCAGCCAATTATTGGGAAAAGAAAAGGAGTGTTAACAGCCTACATGGAGGAGGAATATCACATCTTTGAGAAAAGCATATTGGAATGTAGAATTGATAACACAGGTGGCTGGAAATTATAAACATCACTAATACTGTAGCTTTTGCAAACTCACCAATTATGTTCTGCTTACTAATTAAACAGCTGTCTCTTGACCAATGTATTTTTGACACAAATGTATACTCTGGTTGCTAAAGTGGATAAAAGAGGCTTGTCCCACAATAAAGTCTTTCTTTCTTTTTGTTTTTTTTTCACCCACTTTTTGTGTGTTTTTGTATCTATTCTTTTTTGTCGCTGTCTGGCCAGCATCTGGCAGATCTGGGGATGATCCTGCCCATGTCCCTCCCCAAATCAGCAGCTCCTGGGGATGATTCTCCCCATGTCCCTCCCCAAATCAGCAGCTCCTGGGGATGATCCTCCCCAAATCAGCAGCTCCATTTGCCACTCCTGCAGACACAAACAGCATTGTGGAGTCCCACATGCAGCTCCCACGTACCAGACTGACAGCCCAGGGCCCCAGGTCCAGGAACCTCCCCAGCAGATCCAGAGCTCGCAGCCGGTGCACCTGGCTCAGCAGCACCTGCAGGAGAGAGTGGGGTTAGGGGATGGGGGAGCAGGGATCTGGGCTTGAGAGGAGGGGGAAAACATTCCTGAGAGCTGGGGAATACAGCCCTGAGAGTAGGGGCAGAGAGATCAGGGTTATGGACTGGGGGAACACGGATCTGGGCTTGAGAGGAGGGGGGAACATCCCTGAGAGCAAAAACACAGCCCTGAGAGCAGGGGCAGAGAGATCAGGGTTATGGGATGGGGGAGCAGGGATCTGAGCTTCAGAGGAGGGGAAATATCCCTGAGAGCTGGGGGAAATATTCCTGAGAGCAGGGTGGAGAGATCGGGGTTATGGGCTTGGAGAGTACGGATCTGGGCTTGAGAGGAGGGGGAAATATCTCTGAGAGCAGGGGGAAAATATCCCTGAGAGCAGGGGCAGAGAGATCAGGGTTATGGGATGGGAGAGCACGGATCTGGGCTTGAGAGGAGGGGGAAACATCCCTGAGAGCTGGGGAACACAGAGCCCTGTGACTGAGAGCAGGGGAAAATATCCATGAGAACAGGGGGAAATAGCCCTGAGAGCAGGGTGGAGAGATCGGGGTTATGGGATGGGGGAACAGAGATCTGGGCTTGAGAGGAGGAGGAAAACATTCCTGAGAGCTGGGTGAAATATCCCTGAGAGCAAAAACACAGCCCTGAGAGCTGGGGGAAACAGCCCTGAGAGCTGGGGCAGAGAGATTGGGGTTATGGAATGGGGGAACAGGGATCTGGGCTTGAGAGGAGGGGAAATATCCCTGGGAGTTGGGGGAAACAGCCCTGAGAGCTGGGGAAATATTCCTGAGAGCTGGGGCAGAGAGATCAGGGTTATGGGCTGGAGAGCATGGATCTGGGCTTGAGAGGAAGGGAAAATATCCCTGAGAGCAAAAACACAGCCCTGAGAGCAGGGGGAAATATCCCYGAGAGCAGGGGGAAAACAGAGCCCTGTGCCTGAGAGCAGGGGAACACATCCCTGAGAACAGGGGGAAACATCCTCAAGAGCTGGGGAAAATATCCCTGAGAGCAAAAYATCCCTGAGAGCWGGGGGAAATGGTTCCTGCAGCAGGGCCCAAGGGGCAGTGCCAGCCCTGCCTCCCACTGCTCCCAACAGCTCCGGAGCAGAAGAAGAGGCTTTGCTTTCCTTGGCAAATCAATAGCAGAGACTTAAGAGGGAGCAAAAGGTCATGTTGGTCGTTAATAAAAATCTCATTAAAATGGAGTCTGACAACGCTAATGAGGTGGTGCTTTACTGGCTTAGACCTACCCTGGTGTGAAATATTAACAGATAGACTTGCAGTTCTTAATCTCCTTAACAGATGTAAGATATTGGAATGCAACGTTTAATCCTCACTTTAAATTGAGGAACATCCTTCAGCAGGGATCTCAGGGAGAGACTCCTTGATTTACCTCCCCAATTCCATCCCCTTCTCAGTGTTTTTGCACGCTGCATATTGAAATTAGATTATTTTTCATGTTTAATATTGAAGAATAACTAAATTAGTTGGCTCATGTCTCACACTCTGGGTGACTGGTACTGAGGGGGTGCAGGAAAAGTCCAGAAAAAAGCAGAGGGATGTGAAAATCACTGTCATGGTTTCAGTCCATGTCAGAGTGCAGATTTCAGGACACAGAAAGGATGTTGGCCATCCTGCCCTAGTTGGCAGCAGCCTGTTCCATAAAGCAGCCCAGGAATAACAGGAGCAGCTGTTTGGGATTAAAGAAGAGCAGAGAGCAGGGCAGGTGGGGCAGGGCAGGGTGGGGTGGCAGGAGCTGGCAGGGACAGGAGGCACCAGTGTGACACTGCCAGGACCCCCCAAGCTGCAGGGGAACCAAGGAACTCCAAATCCTGTCACAGCTGGGGCCAGAAATGGGTCTGAGTGAAAGGTTTGTGTGAGTGAGGGTGCAACCCCCAGCCCCACACTGGTGCCATCCCACAGAGGGGATCCCACAGGAATGCAGAGGGGATCCCACAGGGGATGCAGAGGGGATCCCACAGGAATGCAGAGGGGATCCCACAGAGAATGAATGCAGAGGGGATCCCATAGGGGATGCAGAGGGGATCCCACAGGAATGCAGAGGGGATCCCACAGGGGATGCAGAGGGGATCCCACAGGGAATGCAGAGGGGATCCCACAGGAATCCAGAGGGGATCCCATAGGAATCCAGAGGGGATCCCATAGGGGATGCAGAGGGGATCCCACAGAGGGGATCCCACAGAGAATGCAGAGGGGATCCCACAGGGAATGCAGAGGGGATCCCACACAGAATGCAGAAGGGATCCCACAGGAATCCAGAGGGGATCCCACAGGGGATACAGAGGGGATCCCACAGGGAATGCAGAGGGGATCCCACAGAGGGGATCCCACAGGGGATGCAGAGGGGATACAGAGGGGATCCCAGAGGAATCCAGAGGGGATCCCACAGGGACTGAGGGCTGGCTCTGTG